GTGATCAAATACTCTACCAGCAAGAATCACGCACCAACGCCTCCTGTTGGCAGTCCAGTATCATAGTCACTTTGATTCACTCAAACAAGATCACATTATAAAACAGAAAATTATCAATCTATCATACGACTATAAAGAGAAGCTCAGGTTGACATTTCGGCTTCTTGTGCAGATGCTTCGACGACGTCTGGGCATTTAAATTGGAATTTAAATGATGGATGCCCAGACATCGTCGAAGCATCTGCACAAAAAGCCGACATGCCAAACTGAGACCGAGCACTTCGGTTCAGTCAATCGATGGGAAAATCTAGAATTGAATTAAATAATTAATAAGACCCGTTGCACAAGAGGTGGCTTTCGTGGCCCGGGTGGTTTAGTGGATAAGGCTTTGGCGTTTGAAACTATAGGCACTGGGTTCGAGCCTCGGTGGGAACATCATCACTCTTTGGGTAATGCAGGTACATTTAGATGACGAGTCCCAAATAGGACCAAAATGCACATCCTGGATTCCACTGCTAGTCACCATCCACCAATTAAATACAAAGAGAAGCATTAAAATTTGAGATTGAACCGGAAAAAGGCAATATAATAAAGATCAGTTGAATATGTGACATTCAAACAGTTTAGGAGAAAAACGAATGATAGCGACAAGTTTGGCTGAAAAATTCAAATAAGTGTCAGTAATGTACGTAGATCGTCCAGGAGGGATTTTCCAAACTGTTATTCCAGTTACACCACCAACACGCAAAAAAATATACACGTTTTTATATAAAAGCTTTTTTATCAAAGATCTTTTAAACTGAATTCTTGTTCAATTTAATAGTTGTGGAAAACAAATTATTTTTTTCAACTGCAAATTTGCCTGAAATTTCCTGTCCTTAGGATAATAATGAAAGTTTTTTTGTTTGTTTTTTTAAACACAAAGTGGCCTGTGTTAAAGTTTATTTTCATAACAGAGATAGCAGACAATAAGTTATTTGTTACTATTACAGTATACATGAATATTTGTAATAGTTAACTCTCTTACTTTCTGCAGAAGAGACTTCACTATTTTCTGAAGAAATGTTTAAAACACTGCAGACTGTGTGTACTATAAAACGTTATGCACTAATACAGAATTATTTACTGGATGACTTTTCGAACACAGGTTTATTATTTACAATCCCCATCAAAATGCTACTTCACAACGGCGAAGCTTGATATTTAACTAACTGACAAGTAGATAGTAGATATTTATGTTGTAAATTGAAGTCGAAAACCATTCTTAAAGCATGTATTATTGTATGTACTACTGGCTGGCTTATATGAGTAGTTGGACACCATCTTTGTCGACCAGTAGTGATTGCTAGCCAATTTCTACCTGCTTGAAGTGATTTAAACAATGGATGACCTTTTCAGTGGTATACCACTGAGCTGATATGACTCTGCTCAGACAGCTGAATCAGTTCAAACCACTCAAGTTCTGACTAGCAGCTTAGGCAAACTGATAACACGATTAAATCATCAAATTAGTAATTTGAAGTTTACACACTTCGAGGAGGTGAAATTCCGTCAGAATTTACTTTGGAAACTGACACAATTTGGATTTAAATGTGTTATCCTCTTGGTGTCAAAAATGGCAATCATAAGAGCAAGCATAAATGTATGATATGTTTTATACTACTAGCTGGTCCATATGAGTAGTTTAATACCATTTCAAATTAGCCAGTAGTGTTTGCCATCCGGTTGGAATCAATCTAGACGGAGAATAGACACTACACTTGTTTTGTGGCCAAGCGCATTAGAGGCGCATCTCATTTGATGAAGTCTGGACACCTGATTGGTTTAAAACCGTCAGAATTTACAAACTGTGAATTCTACACAATCTACGAAATCCTTCACTTTTCTACAGGTCACTGTGTTTCCGAAAGTTCTAAAATAACTTCCTCGTATTTGTAGTCCTTATTTTTTGTCTGAGTGATATCGATTTTTAACAAAAGTTTAATTTTAACTCCTACTTTTCGGACTAGTGAGTAGGTCTTTCTGAATGTGTACTGAGTGATATAAATATAATACTGTAGAAAGAAACAAATGTCTAACGACAAAAGAGATATCTGTAAGTGTACTACCACAACTCTAAAATCCTGTGTGGATTAAATTACACTTTTCAATATAAGAAACTATTATTTTGCGTAGAGGCCAACTGAATATTTTTAAGATTCTTTGTAATTGTCAAGTTTTGTCTCATGTAGATTTGAAAGAAAATGCAGTAGGTTTCTGCAAGAACAGGCATCATTTAAAAAACAGCTGAAACCAGGATAGTCATCCCCTCCACTGGTTTGAATCACTTCGGAAGCGCTTAAGAGATCAACCTATGATCTTAGGGATTTAAGACGAGTTTGTCGCATATTTCAACAGTAGGTTGAAGCCAAATGACTACAGAATTATAACTTCTCTTAATCTGCGTGGTATTATACTCTTACTATCCAGTGGTGTCATCGATTACAGGTTCTCGTACTTGATATGGTGGACCCAACTAATCATCACTTCTCACTAAAACTGCATTCAATTCATCCCATCGTCAGTCAGTTATAAACAGTGCAGTAATGCTGAAGTGGTGGAAAGAATGTATGTGATTTATTTCAATGTAGGCTCTTTCAAGAACCGACATTAGTTAGAGGACCATTTCTGACTTTCCTATATGTACACACTTCTGATCATCACACAAGAAACGGCATATCACAATCCTTTATTATATAATCAGTGTAAATAAGTGAATTTTCATTAATTTGTGAAACTAAAAGTGTCAATAGCAATCATAGTTTGTTATTCAAATATACTCTGAAATCAACCATTACTACAGTCAAAATTAGGACTCCATTATGGGTAAATTTTGTTTTGATAAAGTCTCAGTGTTATACAGTAATGTTTATTGATGACGTTTCGAGCACAATTTATTGCTCATAATCATATCAAGGTAATCACACGACTTCCTAAATTCATTTATATAGTTCCATTGTTTTTCTCTTGATTTTCACTTGATTTGATTGGTAATAGTATTTTCCATATTTCAGGTATGAGTGACGAGTCATTCCTATTACATGTGTTGGGTGTAGACTCGATGAACAAAGATTCAGTAATCAATCTCTCTCTCCACCTACCTAGATTACTTTTTAGAATTTTAACCCTCTCCCACCCTATTGTGTGGTTGTGTGTTAGCATATGCATTGCAGTTGCAAGGTAGGTGAAGAGAGAGATTGATTACTGAATCCTTGTTCATCGAGTCTACACCCAACACATGTAATAGAATGACTCGTCACTCATACCTGAAATATGGAAAATACTATTACCAATCAAATCAAGTGAAAATCAAGAGAAAAACAATGGAACTATATAAATGAATTTAGGAAGTCGTGTGATTACCTTGATATGATTATGAGCAATAAATTGTGCTCGAAACGTCATCAATAAACATTACTGTATAACACTGAGACTTTATCAAAACAAAGTTTACCCATAATGGAATTACACTCTACCACAGTGCACAAGTTTTATTCTTATATCAAAATTAAGACTGATAAATGTATTTTATCATCCTGAAAATTATTATCAATTTAGCATTCTGTGTTAATCATATTTACAGCATTATTAATAAACAAACAGTATTAAATCACCAATATGTAAATAAATGAAGATCCCTGTCTTAGGCACTCGACTTTCAGACAGTTGTTCCTTTGTTTGAACCCCACTCCACTTAATTCACCACCAACATATAGTGATACAGTGATATGGCTTTTGAAGTTAAATCCTTACCAGTGACAGGAATCGAAACTGGCAGCTTCTTGTTTTCCAACTACCTGACGTTGATTATGTTTTTAATTCAGTTATGATATTTTCACTGGTTGACTGGAGTGAATTTTTAGGCCTCTGGTAATATGTCAGCCACTTTTATAGACGCTTCAAAAATGTCTGAGAATTAACCTGAAGTAATTTGGTGAAAAAAGTGCATCGGCTGCATAGCGGTTAGGACGCTCACCGATCCCCGGCCACCGACACACTCCTTCACCTCGCTGAGCCAGAAATAATGCTGGTAAAGAGGAAAGGTTGGACATGAGGCTAGCAAATCCATCCTGTAAAATAAACACTGGTACAGAAATCTCAAGCCACTAGCTTGAAGGCCTATGTTCCGATTGGGAACGTGAAGAAAAAGACAATTTGGTGGATGGTGACTAGCAATGCAACCCAAGATGCCCACTTCGTCCTTTGTAGGGCTCATCATCCGTATGTACCCATACCCATGATGTTGTTCCCAATGACACTCAAATCCAATATCGATTGTTTTAAATGCCACTGGATCATTCGGGTCACAGATAACGCTTTGCTATTTGAAATGACACGTACTGGATTTGAATTTCAATGAGAACACCATCACTCACTCGGAAAGCAGCTACATCCAGGTGACAAGTCCTAAATAAGATGAAATGTGAACCAGGGATTCCATTATCAGACAGCATCTACCAAACTACTCTAAGTAACATTTATTTTTAAAATTTAACAAAGCACTTTTACACCTGCACCTATTTTATTTATAGCCGAAGAGAAAAATCAAATATTAGTTAATAATGAGTGAATAAATACTCTGAATTATTTAGTGTTACTTGTTTGCTTTTCCTAGGTTTACCAACAGTAGTCACATGACAAGTATTATGATCAAATTTTTTTTTCACCGATTACATCATCTATTTATCTATCTTTCTATCCAATAAAAGATGATAACACTGTAATCATGAGTTAACACGTTTCCTAAAATTTTATTCAATATGTTTTAACATGATCCAGATCATAAAGAATCGATATTTTTTAGTTATATCATCCTGTTATTTGGTTGGTGTCACTGTTACATTTACTATGATTGCTTAGTTTTTGTGGTGAATAAAGATTGGAATGTAATTTATTATATTTAAATAATATTGGTCATATTATTGTTGGTAATATTCACTAGACTAACTGTTCAGCTGACATTTATAAGTGACACTGACTTGTAGTTGTTTATTCCTTGTTTATTAGTCAACTGAAGGTTAGGCTTATCAGCATTACTTAGAACAACAGAACGAAAAAAAGCAAGTCGAGAAGTGTAAGCTCATCTCCAGAATTAGTAGTGTAGCAGTAGTAACAATCTTCAATGAAATAGATTAGCAAACGTAATTGGACTACGAACATTATGCATGAAACAGTTGAATATCTGTAAGTTATTTATTTACTTTAGCCGTTTGTAATACCGTTTTTACCATTATTATGTCTTGATGTTAATCTTTATTGATGGTGAGACTTTCTGAAGTTGGTGATGGGTTGCAAGTCAGTTAAAAGTGCTTGTTGTGACGTGCACTATGGAAGAACGGACTAAACCTTGGTGTTGAAAATCTGAAATTGTCCCTTCTGATGAAGGGAGTAGATTTCCTAAGTGATTTCAGAGTAGCAAATGTCTGTCCGATTACTTTTCCGATTCTGGTTTTTCCATCCTCATCTATTCCACTCGCCCGTAGTTTAAATATTGATGCGTATTTAGGTAAAAGAATAGACCTTATTCAAAATTCACCCAATAGTGGTGCTTCTCATTGTAGCCTGCCTCCTCTGCCAACTTGTTGGTTTCCACCTGTAAATGTTTAAATTTATGTGACATTTGATAGAAATTGTATGTCAACTCCAAAATCATCTAGATTCTTCCTATCAGTACAACATATTCCTGTCTTCTCCTTCATTAAACACTCCTATAATATCCAGTCCACTACGATTAGGAATATCATCGGTCATTTAACGGGAATATAATTACGGCTTATTGGTTTATGCAAAAGAAAAATCTATGTAAAATCCCTAAAGCACAACTAACAGAGGGTCATAACTTCAAATCAAAGGGTCTTCAAATGAAGTATTCTTCTTCAGTCCTTTGCTTATTGTTGAAGTTGTCGTCTATTATCTTACTAAACGCACACAATTTCGACTTAAGTCGCTAGAACAAATTCTGTCGGCATTTTTTTACTTTCCAAGTAAAACACAAGGCCTAACGTCTTTTTTGAAGTTTCAATAGCCGCCATCCTGTTCTCAATAACAATAATTATTATTATAGCTCTATCCTGCATACAATGTCTGTAAATTGCACTGAATTCTCAGCGTAATCTATTGCATAATATTTTATGCTCATCAAGGGTTTTCAGGCAAAATATGAATCTCTACTAATATTTCAATTGACATTGTGCTGTTCAATCTAAAGTATTGACTAATTCCCTTTTCCTTCATTTGCGAATAATGCGGACCGGTAGTTTGAAGGATAATTATACAGGTGCGTCAGTACATTCTGCGATTCATAGATATAACTAAATGGTTAAAAACCAAGATTAAGATAAAATAAAGAGTGATTAGGGGGGTTCTACTCCTTTTTGGTTAAAGATTTGTTCGCAATCGAACTTTGACCCTACGCTTGACTTCTGAGCGTTCTTCCACTGACCTTTATTTCTTTCCTTCACGTTCCCCAGTGGAACATGGGGCTTCGAGCTAGTGGCTTGAAGTTTGTGTAGCAGTGTTTATTTTACAGGATGGGGGTTGCTAGCCTCATGCCCAACCTTTCCTCTTTACCAGCATTATCTCTGGCTGGGCGAGGTGAAGGAGTGTGTCGGTGGCTGGGGATCGAACCCCGGACCATGTGCATGGTCGGCGAGCATCCTAACCGCTTTACCACCAACGCACTGCACTGACCTTATTAAGAACTAATTCAGTGCACTATGATTCAATGAATATACAGTTTATTAATCACATAGATGATGAGTCGTTTTACACGATTAGTTTGTCCAGTCATACAAATCAAATATCAGCTCCATATAAAACATCAAATAAGCGAGTGAGAATATCTTAGGGCATTCGGTTTCCCGTGAAATCATAGAAATTTCGTCCATCCAAATACCGAAAATCTAACTTCAGTGTTTCTTGTTGAAAAGAATTCAGATTATTTCTTCAATATGATTCTAATTTAAAACAAATGTATGTTTTTTAGTTTATGCATAACTAACTAGCTAGATGTATGAATTCATTGTGGTGCCATAGCTTTTTCTTTTCTACCTGATGCATTCAATTAATTTCTATGATCAAAAGAATATTCCAGTATAATCTGTATGTATGATTATGCCTTTTACATTCACTTAACCTACTATTGGTATCGTAAAAAAGAAATTTTGTATTACACTTACATACACTTATGATCGGTTAAAATAGTGATCAGTGTACTTTTAACCGGTAGATCATAACTTTATATCTCAATCGATTTTGATGAAATTCGGATTACTAAGTGGTAAAGTGCATTCCACATACACTAAGGTACACGTCAAAAGCAAAACTTACATTCTGAAAATTAGTTAGCAATTCTTAGTGTACACAGCTCGAGGGGTGAAATTCCACCACAGTAGCCCTTGAAAACCAATGGTTCTCTAACTGATATCAATCCGTGATCAACTTGTAAAAACAGAACTAATCCCTACAAACCAACTATAGAAAATTAATCTGATGCTCGCTAGTGACTTGTTACAGGATAGAGTTTCCTGGAGTTCTAGTGAGAAGTCGTGACCAGTGAGGTTCATCCAGTCACGTGTGAGGATGCATGTCCCACCGACGACATTGGTTGGGGTCACACTAAATCCCGAATTGGTAGAGATTAGAACTAATGGACTGGCCGTTGAGTCGGATCCCAGTGGCTAAATGATATACGAGCTTGCCTTGTAACCTGAAGGTCCTGGGTTCAGGTCTTAGTGGAAGCGTACTGCCGACGATTCTCACACTAGGATGAAACAGCTGTCAGGTACTCCCTGGTTTTCAATAGTCCTCTAACTGATATCGATCCGTGATCATCTCGTAAAAACAAAACTAATTCCAAACAAACGAACTATAGAAGACCAAAATTATTCAGATCACATACTATGATCTGACTGATACCATTATATATGGTTATCGACAGAGCAAGCGGATGTGCTTAAAACTACATATAACTGATCGATTGAGATGAGTGGGTGTAGATCACTCTTATCAACCGGTAGTGCTTACCAGCCAGGTAGAGGTGATCTAAACAGTGAACAGCCATTTCAGTCACGTAAACCCTACCTGATAAATACTGTACCCTGTTTGACAAAACCCAGAGCGATGAATCAGTTCAAACCAATCGATTTATAGGCATATAATCTAGTGACTTTTGGAGTATCTTAAATGGTATTAAGTCAGCAGACTTTAGTGTAATGAATGGTGACGGAAAGTAATGTGAAAACCTGGGTCATGGTAGGGTTTAAATCAGTCACCTTTGAACCATTAGGTGTGATTATAACACATCCACAGCTAAGTGTCACTAACTCATGCTCAAAAAGCATGGATGTGGGCCGAGTTTCGATTCCCAGCCAACGTCCGGTTTGCTAGCCAATAGCAAAACACAGAGAAGACGGAATGTTGGTTGTAAGGCTAGCAACCACACCTCAGTGAAAACATTACCATAGCTGTTGAAACTTCAAGGATGCCTGTCTGCGGGCTCTAGGTTTCACTCAGAGCCCAAAGAATGCATGGAATTGAAATTATCTACGATACACTTTGTTTAGTGTATAAAATCTTTAATGATCGTGACTAATCAAACTTAATCTATAACTAGCTCATGCTGCATTGTTTGTAGACATTGGGATCTTCAAATCAAAGCTCACTCAAAGGAACTCTATCACTGGTCAAACTCTCTTCGTACCTTTCAAACAAACAATAACAATAATAGATTTCTTCTAGGTTGTATGTTTGCACATTGCGCAGAATTTTCAGCGTATTATAACTTGGAAAACATTTACGAGTTGATCACGGATTGATATCAGTTAGAGAACCATTGAAAACCATGGAGTACTGGATAGCCGCAGTTTCATCCTAGTTCGGGAATAATCGGCAGTACGCACCCACTGGAATTCGAGCCTAGGGCCTGCCGGTTACAAGACCAGCGAGCTCGTATACCATTTAGCCACTTGGGCCCAACTCACTGGCCAGTCCATGAATTGTCACTTCTACTAATTCGTGATTTAGCGCGACCCCAACCAATGTCGTTGGTGAGACATCCATTCCCACCCGTGGCTGGATGAACCTCACTGATCACGACTTCTCATTTTGTACAGGATCTCCAAATTAAACAGTATTCGGCAGAATATCACGTGACTGTGTTTTTCCCTCTGAAGAAATGCCCAACAATATGGTTAAGAAATAAACACTTTGCTCTCCAGCCATGCCTCACATGGTCCCAGGCTTGATCCCTAACCTAGACACTTAAACCTCGCTGCTTAAACGGTAGTAAGCTCGGCGAAAAGGGAGGTTAGGTGTTAAACTAGCTATTCCACCGAGTAAAAATGAAACCACTGGTAGTGAAACTTCAAGGCTCAAGTTTGAAGCTCTTTGTTCCACTAAGAACGCAAAGGGATAAAACAAATTTTAAAAGTGATGAGTAATGCCTGGATGAAAAACCTCGACCGGAACAGGCCGGATTCAGGAGAAACAAGTCATGTATTGATCAAATCGCCACTCTACGGATCATCATTGAACAAAGCTTAGAATAGCAGTCACCTCTCTATCTCAACTTCACGACTTTCAAAAGGCCTTCGACAGCGTCGATCGAGAGGTGATTTGTCAACTACTTAGCTACTACGGGGTCCCATCGACAATGATACATCTCATCCAAAAGTTATACGACAATGGTGCATGCCAAGTAATCCACAACGGGAAACTTACGGAAGCCTTCGAAGTGAGGACGGGAGTGAAGCAAGCTGGCTGTCTTCTATTACCAATGATCTTCCTGATTGCAGTAGATTGGATAATGCGAGAGACAACGGGCAATGAGGAAACAGGCATAAAATGAACTCATACAAAAACTTGGAGGATCTGGACTTCGTCGATGCGATGCATATGTCTGATTTCCCACAAACTAGAAGATATGCAAGTGAAAAGCAACAAATCGGCGAAAGAAGCATCGAAGATAGGACTTCAAGTGAACATAGAGAAAACAGCGGTAGGTGATGAAGATTCCTGACCAACACCACCAGCAACAACAACAACAGACAACAATCAGCCAGCATAAATGGGAGGTACCTGAAAGAATCAGCCTCCTTCACCTACCTAGGAAGCATCGTTTCAACTACAGGCGGACGGAACTGACGAGGATATCAAAGCTAGAGTCGGAAGAGCAAGACAAGCTT